CTGTGCAGCTCCAGAAGCTGCTCTGCGTTGTCCCACCAGTGCCCCTGCAGCTGCAGCCCACTGAAGCGCCAGGGAAAGCCTGGCAGATGCAAGTTCTCCTCCTGCTCTGTGTGTGTTCCTTGAAGACTGTGGAATTGCTTCAGAATTCCTGAAAGAGGCCTTGGGATGAAGCCTGGCTGAGTATCCCTCTCAAGTTCCCATCTCTGCCCCTGGGGCTCAGCCAGGCTGACTCTCTGACACCCTCTGTGCTGGGAGTTAAACTTTAATACGAAGCAGGGGAGAGGAGCCCAGGGGTGACTCAGCCTCCCATGTTCTTGCCCTTCCCCTCCCCACGGGGGAGGGCGGCGTGGCAGGACAGGGAGCGGGACAGGACACAGCAGGGAGCGCCTGCGACCCCGGGGGCTGCCCCTGCGATGGAGCCCTGTGACCCACACGTGAAGAGAGTCGCTGTTGTCGGAGGTGGCCTGGTAGGAAATGCCCTTTAGCTGCTGCATGACTGTGTTTGCCAGGGAGCCGGGGCTGTAAAAGCACTGTCTGAGGGTGGGTGGGTGTTTGTCTTAAAACCGTTCCTCTGGGGGATGATGGGGTGTTGGAAAGGGGCTGGTTTTGTTCCCGCTGTGGGAGGCTCCTGTCCTTCTCTCAGAGGAAGGGGTTTGGGTGGTGCTGGAGCAATGGTGCCCAGGTAGATTAAATAACAGGCCTTGCTTGGGCTGCCAGATCCCCCTGCCCCTTGGCTGCTTCCAGCTGTAACCAAGTCACCAATGTGAAATGCTTTGCAAGGACTGAGACTCAGCAAATGCCAGGCTGAGAGGAAATGCCTTCCTCTCCTCTCCTTTGTCTGGGAATGGTTTTCATCCCCTGCCACTTGCGGAGTGGTCTGGCTCTAAAGACAAGGCTGGACGGGGCTCTGAGCAACCTGATCTAGCGTAGGGTGTCCCTGCCCATGGCAGGGGGTTGGAATGAGATGGTCTGTAGGGTCCCTTCCAACCCAAACCATTCTGTGAGTCTATGATCCTTCGATAGCATGAAGCATTGCAGCACCTAACACCTTTCTTTAGACTTCGTGGCTTCTCAGAAAAGAGCGATGACAAAAAGAGTCTGCAGTTCTGGCAGCAATTAGTGATGGAAATCAAACAAGAAAAAATTGATTTAAATAACAAACAAGACATATTTGTGCTGTTCTCCCCCACCGTGTTCCCAAGGGAACGCTGCACAGCACTCTGAATTCTACTGAGGAAGATAAACAGTCCAGAGAGGAGCTGGGAGCTTGCCTGTACCAGCTCCTGCTATCTCTGGCTGAAGAGATTAACCCTGCTGCACTCAGTCACTGTGTGTAACTAAGCCTGAGCTTGGTATGACTTTATATGAAGAGTTTTGATGCGTGGCATTGGTCTGGGGAGGCTCTGCAGACACATCAGGTCTGCCAGAGGACTGCTCTTCAGTAAAAAGTCCTCCAAGGCTCTTGGTCAAAGGACTTACCTGTATATGCTGAGCTGCATCCCCTGATCCCTGCTTTCCCTTGATGCATCTCAGTGGTGACCTGTGGGATACTTCACTCACCATTCCTGGTCCTTCTCTTGTAGGTGGGTGCATTAAATGCCTGTTTCTTTGCCAAACGAGGCTTCCATGTTGACGTTTATGAAGCCAGAGAAGGTAAGTTCAGCCTGATCATTACTGTGTGAGCTCACTGAAACCACAGAAAAAAAAAAAATGAAATCTGAAAGTGTGGCAGTTTGGGGATATTCTTTCCACTCTTGCCTTCAGCTCCTGGGGGCGGGGGGGAGCATTTATTCGAAGTATGTTGTCCTGCGTGGAGAGAACCCACCCTTCAGCTACTAAAACAATGCCCTTTTTATGTTCTTGGCTTAAATATTGATTCAAATCCTCACCTTTCAAACTTGGTGTCTGCACGAAGCATTATAGTACAGAGCTGTATCAGGAGGAGGGATGGAGAGCTCTCAGGAAGCCTCCAAGTCCACAGGGTGCCACAGCAGAGAAATCATGACTTAGAGCCGAGGTGCTGGCTGAAAGGCAGAGAAATCGTTCACCTGCAGTACCTGCCGGCTTGGCAGACAAAGAGAACCTGGGCAGAGGTGGCAAACCAAGCAGCAGGTGAGAATGGCCCCATGGAAGGTGAAACTCAAGTGTGTAGTGAAGGGAAGGAGAAGCTGCACCTGACACGTGATCTCTGTGGAAACTCTTCCTGCTCTGGCAGGCATCAGGATGGGCAGTTCTGCTGCATGGCTCGTGGCTGCCAGGAGCTCCACAGGTTCAAAAAGCCTCTGATTGCCTTCTGAGTTGGATGGATTTTACTGCTGTACTCCAGCTTGTGGCCCAGTGCTTACGCTGAGATGCATGAGGAGGGTCTGCCCCATGCACTGGCCAGGCAATTTGGGAAGGCTGAGTGAGGCAATTCTGAGGGGGAACAGGCCAGTACCCAGACATTTCCATCGGAACAGCTGCTTCTCCCAGGCCAGAGGTGGCCCAGGAGCTGCTCAGCCCAACAGCTAAAGGTGCCTTTTGACACTTGCCCTCCCTGCACCCAGAGCGGGAGGACAGGCACTCCCCACTGTCCCTCCTGCTGTCGCTGCAGGGGGTTGGGAGACGCTGCCCAGACCGGGCTGTGGCCTCAGTGCCTCCATAACCAGCTGTTCTTCCCATGCAGACATTCGTTTTGCCAGCTTTGCCCGTGGCAGAAGCATTAACTTGGCCCTGTCTCACAGAGGACGCCAAGCCCTCCGAGCCGTGGGGATGGAGGAGCAGGTACCCTGGCAGATCCTGGTGGTGGGGGTGGTTAAAATACTCTTGACTTCAGCTGGCGATGGACAGGCTCTCTTCTGCTCCTTGAGAGTGCAGAGGCAGCTCTGCCTTTGTGAGGGTGGAAGTAGAAATCTCCCAGGCAGATCTCTCCCAGGCAGACCCCTTCCACTGCATCCTGCAGCCTGGCTCTCCACTGCTCCACAGCACAGCTGCCAGCAGGATCCTCCCCCTGCCCCAGGCAGCTGGGCTCTGCTCCTGGCAGTGGGTGCTTCCCCAGGACACCAAACACTCAGACAACACCTACCAGTGTTCACCTCCCTTCCATGCTCACCTCCTTCCTGCAGGTGAGGGCAAACAGGGCAGGAGTGGATGGACTCCCAAAAGAGCTGATGCACTGAAGCAGGATGTGATAAAGGGGCCTGGTTTCTGCCCTGGCATGTCCAGATCTGTATTTTCCCACAAAACCTTGATTCTGCAGGATGCTTGGCTACCATTTAACACCCAGCTGTTGGCAGTGAGGGGATGTCCTCGCCCCCGGATCCCTGCAGAGGAGCCCAAGCTTTGACAACGCACATCCCAGTCCCAGGATGTAATTCAGCTGTCAACCTCTGCCCTGTCCAGCAGCCTGGGATTTTTCATGCCACTTCTATCAAAAAATAATTTCCCCCGTTTTTTATGAGAATGAGCTTGTAAGAAATCTCAGCAAACTGTAGTGACTTGGCATGACAGCCCCGTAAAACTTTCCCCAAGGTATGAGCAGAGTGTGCAGTGCACGGGGAGGGGGGAGATGATGCTTGGTAACTTGTATTAAACCCCCACACTTTTATCCAGAGGGCTGGGTTGTGTTCCCTTCTGTTTCAGATTGTGTCCAAGGGCATTCCCATGCGGGCAAGGAGGATACACACACCCTCAGGGAAAAAGTACTCTATCCCTTACGGGAAGAAGAACCAGGTACTGAAGATGCTTTGCAGGGCACAAGGGGCCTGTGCCTGGCATTTGTGCCTCTGTGCCATGGACAGTCTGGGGCTCACACTCCTGCAGAGGATGCAGGAAGGGGATTGTGTGACCCCCAGCTTCAATAGGGCTATTTGAAGTGGGGGGGGAGGGTTTCCTGCCTGGCCATGCAGAGCAATCCTTCAGCAGAACCTTCTGAACCCCCTGTCTGTTTGCCTTGCAGTACATTCTGTCTGTGGACAGAGCAAACTTAAACAAAGAGCTGCTGACAGGTAAGCCGTCACTTCTGTTTGCAAATTATTTCTACACCCTTTTTCCTGAGGATTCAGGGTTTGCCCCATAACCAGCAGATTTTAGGCCCCAAGCTCCCTCACCTGGCTCTCAGAAAGTGCAAACCTGAACTAGCTGTGTTTTTAAGAAAAAAACCTGTGCTGTTTCCCAGCTAGAGAAGGAGGTGCCTCCTCGGCCTTGTCATGGTTTGTGGCATTTTCCATGACTCCTGATTGTACAGATAGAAATTGAACCACTATGGCCAAGTGTATAATTGGAACAGGCCAAATTTCCAGTACTTCCCCACAGACTGCAGGCACCTCATCCCATCCTGAAATTCAGTGGAGTGGTGGTGGAAAGTAGCCAATGACTCGTGTAATTCTGGGGAAGAAAGAAATCTTTGCAGGATTCCTTGCACTTTTTAAATAGTTTTTACCATAGTTGACCAGTCCCAGTGTGCCCTGCCTGCTGGCCCTCACTCAACACAACAAATGGCAAAACCCCCTGTAATTTAGGGATCTCTTGGAAATATTTTTGGAGTCACAGTAAACCCCTCTACATTCAGTTTTTGTCTTTTTTTCTTTTCCCAGCTGCTGAGAAGTACTCCAACACCAAGCTGTACTTTGGCCACAAGCTCCTGGAGTGCAACGCAGAGCTGGGGACGTTATCCATAAAAAGGTAATCCCTGGGCAAGCGTGGGATCAAGTCTTGTGGTCAGTTAGTTTCTGCTTAATCATTCACAAAACCTCAAACAATTGAGCAACCTTGGTGTTGAAACTACTGTGAGTGTGTGTGTGGAAGATGTCTCTGCCCATGGCAGGGGGGGTTGGAATGAGATGGGCTTTTAGGTGCCTGGAGTTACAGCAAGATTAATCACACAATCACAGAATGGTTAGAGCTGGAAGGGACCTTAAAGATCAGATCGACCCAAGGGGACTCTCTTTGCTCTCAGATCTGACCAGCAGACCTTGGAGGTCACCTACGACCTCATTGTGGGATGTGATGGAGCCTTCTCAACAGTCAGAAAGCAGTTCATGAGGCAAACACGCTTTAACTACAGTCAGCAGTACATTCCTCACGGCTACATGGAGCTGACCATCCCTCCCAGAGATGGAGATGTAAGTGTGCCTATCCCAGAGGCTGCAGATTGGTCACCCTGTACCCCTTCTCATGCTGGCTCTGCCAGAACAGCTTTAGAGAAACTGATTTCTTCCCTGGGGTTCAGGAAAGGGATTAAACCTTTCCTGGGAGAAGGCAGGGATCTCTTCCTCTTCCAAAGGTTGGTACCTGGCTGCAAAAAACCTAGAGAGCCTGTCCTGGAGGCAGTGGGGTTAACTCTAACTCTGAGAGGTCCTGAGGGAATGGGAATGTGTCTGAGAGGGTATCAGCAACTGCAATGCAGAGGATTTTTTCCTGTTTTCCCCATATCTCTTACCCTTTCCCCTTTCCCTGTGTCTCCCTGAAGCGTCAGGTACCAGACAGGGGCCCTGTACTTGCTGTGTCTTTCCATGGTACAAAGAATGGGAACTGGTGTCAAGGATACAAGGTGATTTTCTCTTCTCTTGCAGTTTGCCATGGAACCAAACTACCTCCACATCTGGCCGAGAAACACCTTCATGATGATTGCACTGCCCAACATGGTGAGAACCCACGGCCATGTTCCCTTGGGGCATAGGAGGGGGGCTGGTGGGGACGAACTGGCTATGGTGGTGGGGATTGGGAGGGCCAAAAATCACAGAATAACAGACTCACAGGATCAATTAGGTTGGAAAAGACCTCTGAAACCATTGAGTCCAACCAGTGACCAAACACCACCATGTCAACCAGACCATGGCACTAAGTGCCACTTCCAGGTTTCCTTAAACACCCCCAGAGACGGTGACTCCACCACCTCCCTGGGCAGCCCATTCCAATACATAATCACCGTTCCCTCTCCAGTGGGTCACTGCAATTGCCAGGTGACAAGCAGGGCCCTCAGCTGCTGCTCCCCGTGCCACATGCTCTCTGTGGTCTCTGGGCTTCTTACTGACCTTCCTCCCTGGCTGGCAGGACAAGTCCTTCACCTGCACGCTCTTCATGCCCTTTGAGGAATTTGAGAAGCTCACGACGGGCGAGCAAGTGCTGGGTTTCTTCCAGACCTACTTCCCAGATGCCATCCCCCTCATTGGAGAGTAAGTGTCCTCATCTCCCCTTCTCTCTCATCAGCACAGTGCTGTGAAGCCAGGGAACAGATCACTCAGCCTTGGGACCCGGTGATGGGGTTGTGATGGATCCCCCTGTGTGGACTCCCTCACTGCTGGGCAAATGGCACAAGGGCAACAGCACAGAGCTGGAGCATCCCACCCCTCCTGGGGGCCCTGGTGGCAGTGGGGACCAGGACCAGCCTTTCCAGTACATGTGCTGATGGCTGTGGCTCTGTTCAGTATGTCCTCATTTTCCTGCCAAGAGGGAAACCTCCCCAGGCAGCGGGAGCTCCAGCTCACTGTTAATGCTTCTGCTTTGCAACACAGCTATCTGTTATGGGATGGGCTTTTTTTGGCCCATATCAATGGCCTCAGCTGCGTTTGGCAATTTTCTTTCCTCTTAAGGTTTTACTGCAGGACTTCATATTAGCTTAGAAACTCTGATATTCTCTGGTATATCCTTCCTACAATGACCAACACCCACCAATGCTCACAGTAAGAGGGGACTGAGATGTCAACACTCGGGTTGTGTGCAGAGCTTGAAACCTGCAGATAAAACCTTTGGTCCATGGGGGGAAAGTTAATGAAACAGGTTACCTGGCTCCCACATTTTTCCCAGCACAAATAGCCCAGGACATGGGTTTGGGTTTCACATCCCAAAGCTGACAGTGCCTGCGGCCTTGGCCTCCCGAGCTGGGACGTGGCGTGACTTGCACTTCTTCTCTCTCATGGTCCCACAAGTGAAGTATCTGTTGTTTTGCCTGAAGGCAAGAGCTGAAGCGTGACTACTTTGTGCTGCCAGCCCAGGCCATGGTGTCTGTGAAGTGCTCCTCCTACCACCTGGGTTCCCGGTGCGTGCTGATGGGAGATGCCGCCCATGCTGTCGTGCCCTTCTACGGACAGGGCATGAACGCGGTAGGTTCGTGGTCTGTGTTGGTGGGGTCCCCGCTCTTTTCACCCACAAATGCCTGCTTGTAGTGTGCAGCCCCACAGAGTTCATGGGCTGGCCTGTCCCACAGCCTGATGTCCTCTGCATTGGCAGGGGTTGAGCTCCAGTCAGGGTGTCACCCTGGGGAGGAGAGGGGACAGGGCACTGGTGCCACCTTCCCAGGGGGCAGAGGACTGTGTGGGAGGGGGTCCAGCCTACTGGGAAAGGCAATCCCCTGCATTTCTCTCAAGATCCCTGGCAGAGTGGCCTGTTTGGGTTTTGCAGTAAGGCTCCTGCTCCGAGGCAGTTAGTGGGACCAAAAGCTACACTAGCTAAGCATTCATGAGAGCACTGCTCATGAACACGTGGCTCCTTACCCCTATTAACCCCTGAATTTTCCTCCCAGGGTTTTGAAGATTGTCTGGTCTTTGATGAATTAATGGACCAGTTCCACAATGACCTTGGTGAGCGGGGTGGCTGGGGAGGAGCGGGAGCAGAGGAACACCCCTCTGAGCCCGAGGACAGCCTGATATCCTGCAGGGAGCTGCTTGTGAACTGTTGCTTTCTCCTCCCAGGTGCCTGCCTCCCTGAGTTCTCCAGACTGAGGGTACCAGACGACCACGCCATTTCAGATTTAGCCATGTACAACTATGTGGAGGTAGGACATGCACACAGCAGCACTCTCAGGATGCTCAGAGCAGGCAAGGCCCCTGGCAAGAACTCTGTTTGGGCGCTCACCCTGGCAGGCTTTATCCCCAGAGCTCCCTGGGAATGTCACTGGGGCTAGGGAGGCTCTGCTCCCCATGTGACCTCCAGGACAGGCAGTGGGAGAGACAGCAAAGTGCCGGGGGGGGCTCTGCCAAAATTCCCGGTGAGGGCGTGACTGTCGCTCCGTTGCAGATGCGCGAGCACGTGAATTCCACGTGGTTCATTTTCCGGAAGCACGTGGACAACTTCCTCCACGCCCTCATGCCCTCCACCATCGTCCCGCTGTACACCATGGTAAGGCCAGTGTGTCCCCACCACCACGAGCTCCTCCCGGCTGCCTTTCGTGGTGGTGACGCTCTCCTGCAACCCTCCCAGGTGACCTTCACCAGGATTCGCTACCATGAGGCCCTTCAGCGCTGGAAATGGCAGACAAAGGTTGGTCGAGGATGCCCTGGGGAGCATCCAGCACTGCTCAGCTGCTGGGGTTGGGGGGGAGCCCTGGTGGTGGGATATCACCAGGTGGGAGCCGGAGCTGCAGGGTAGGAGCAAAGCTCTGATGATGCCGAGGTTTCCCTTTGCGCTTGCAGGTAATTAATCGAGGGATCTTTGTCGTGGGGGCAGCAGGGCTGGGTGGCACCTACCTGCTGGTAAAGCGCCTGGCACGGAACTTGGACCTCTGCGTGGAAACCTTGTGGGGCTGGTCCCATTACCTGAAGAACATTGGAAATCTTCCCTTTGGCACGCAGGTGGCTTAAATGTAAGGGAGGCTCCTTATAATAAAAGCAAAGGCATGGGCTGTTGGCTCAGCTGGATGACGTTGTTTCTCCTGGGATGTGGCTTGGCAGCTGCTCCAGCCCCTCGGAAGCAGTTGGGTCTCTACCCAGGTGAGAGGAGCCCATCAGGGCACAGAGTGCCCAGGGAGCCTCTCCAGGGGCTCAGGTGTGTATCTGCCCCATCCCTCCAGTGCTGTGGTGTGTAGATGTGGTGCTTAGGGAGGTGGTTTACTGGTGGACCTTGCAGTGCTGGGTGAACAGTTAGACTCGACGACCACTTTTCCCAGCCTCAGTGATTCCGTGGTTCTGTGACCTGATCGTGTGCCAGCCCACACTGCAGACTGTTGCTCTTACCAAAATCAAGCTGACGTCTTGGGGGTCCTCAAGCCAAAAATAGCAGCAGGCTGGGATCCTGCTGGAAGGGGTATCAGACATACTTTCCTTCTTCTTACCTTGCCCTAGACTCTCACAGTCACTGCTGAACAACAACAAAATGGCCAAAATTAACCCGTGATCTGAGGCAGCACAGCCACTCTTGTTTGATTGAGGTGGTTTACGTACAGCTGCCAGCAGGTGAGCAGGGACAAAGAACTGCTCTGCATCGTTCAGCGAGTCGGTTTTGGCTTGCAAGGGAGCCCCTTTCAGGGCATAGATGGCAAATTAGTGTAGAGGACAGGTTGTTTCTCTGGCCAGCATCTTTCCCAGGCACTGTACCTACGGGAGATGGCAGCAGCAATGACAGGGTGTGGCTGTAGTTTCTCCAGTGAACACTTCAGCTGCTGCCCTTGCACTTAATTCTTAGCAGGACAGATGTATTTACTTTATATATTAAATCTTTATTCACGTTAAACCCCATTCAGAGAGCAAATGAAGATGCGACACAAGACAACCATATGCAAATTAATCCCAAACTGAAAGCAAATAAGGAACTGTACCGCTGTTTCACAGGAGCGACCCCACAATGTAAGGGCAATTGGCTGCTGTGGGTGGTTGGGATAAGTGGTGAGCTGGCTCTTGGTATGCCTGATGGGCTCGCAGAGCAGGGAGATCACTCCCTGAGGGGTGGTGGAAGAAGCTGTGTCTGATCTCCAACCTGCAGGGAATTTTTCAGCTGCTCAGTGCCGAAGTTTCATAGATCAAACGGTGGCTCTTTTGCCTCCTTGCTGTGAGGAGGACTTCAAGGCATGATGGAGGTAAGCCAGGCATGCAGGAGCCCAAGCAGAACCTAGCCTGAGGTAGGTCTGAGAGGAGTGACACCACGAAACAGTTGATGATTTGGGAAGAAGATTCAGTGCACGCTCCCCAGCTGCTCTCCATCCCCAGGTACAGGTGCCCACTAGCCCTTAGGGCACATCCCATTGCTGCAACCTCCAGAGCGGATTGCCAGCCTGGAGGACCCTCCACTTCCTACGCAGCAGGGAGTTCTTTGGAAGCCAGTGCATAGTGGTGGAGACCAGTTCAGCAGGGGAGGGCATGGAGCAGCCTAGGAGCAGATCCTGCTGGAGCAGAAGAGGCGTGGTGGCAGTATTGAAATCCCAGCTCAAACTCGGAGCTGGAAGCACTCTGTGAGCTCTGCTGGCTTTGGGGCTCCTGGCAGAAGGCAAAGTTAGCATCAGGAGGTGAGACAGTCAGTGTCCAGTCCAGGAGCTGCTGCACATTCCCATGGTGAGGCCTGCTCTGCAGTCCCATCCACAGCAAAGCTGTGTCTGTTCCCTTCCCCCATCCCCACCAACCCAACCGTCGAGCACTAGGCCAGGATACTGGCACGATGCAGTCCCTCAGCCAGCACCTGCCACGGGAGAAGGGAACAAACCACGAGGATAAAGAAGAGGAGGTGGGGGCCTTAGTTCAAGATTTCCTTAGTTTGAGGTTTCTTTAACTTGGCATTTCCTTATTTAACAGTGGGTCCCAGCGCTGCCAGCCATCGCCTCATTCGTTAAACCTGGGGTTGACAACAGTGGTGGTGGCACTCCTGAAGAGGGGGTTATCAGCCTGGAGGGAGAGAAGTCAGAGGCTTGTGTTTGTGCTGTGGTACCTGCCCAACCCCTTCCAATGCCAGCAGCACAGGCAGCACTGGCAGAAGAGCCCACAGGCTGTTTAGCCCCCTCCAAACTCCAGCTGGGCCGCACAACGGGCCAGTGGGGAGGGCTCAGGTCTACCTGGCTACCTCTGGGAAGGACGTCCCCTCCTCCTGTCCCCACCCCAGGGGTACGTGACCATCCCAGCACACCCCACTGCCACAGATGGGCTCCCTTACATCATTCCACTTGGCTTTGGACTTCTCCTTCTCAAACCGGCGGTACTCCCGGCGGTCCAACAGCTCTGTCAGGCACCGCCAGATGAGCAGGATCACCAGGCCAATGAGGACCACGGCAGCGATGGTGCCGCCCACAATCAGAGCGATGTTGGGAGGCTCCGGGCACTCTGTGGGGCAGGCAGACCGTGTCGGGTTGCAGCTCTCGGCAAAGCAGCTGAGGCCGCCGCGGCAGGGCAGGGAAAACGGGGGATGGAGTACCTTTTTCAGGTTCGACGTAGACGGTGTATATGTCCTCACCATCCTCCTGGAACATCTGGAAAGAGATCCAGCAGTTCTGGGAGTCCTTCTCCCTGCATTTCCTGCTGCCCTCGATCGGCTTGTCGGACTTGTGGATGATGGGGCAGGCCTTGGAGCAGTTCTTCGCGAAGGGGCCGGTCCCGGAGGTCCTGCACTCCTCACAGGCGCTGCAAAACAAGCAGCCACAGCTCCCGTCTGCAGGGGCAGAGACGCACTCCCCCGGCTTTGGCCGCAGCTGGGCTCTGCCCGGGAACAGGCAGGGCTTGCCTGCGCCTGCCTGGGATATGAGGGGGTCCCTGCTGCCCCCGTGCCCTCTCCGTGCGCGTCACTCACACGTATCTGCCACAGGGTGAGGGGCAGCCGGGGCACTCCTGGCAGAAGGGGGGCTGGTAGTCGCCCCGGCACTGGCAGCGGTTGCAGAGGCAGGTCCCGCGGAGGCTGCACAGGTTCTTGCGGGCGTTCAGGCAGCCGTCTGTCGACTGCCGGCACTGGCAGGCGCTGCCCTCGTAGCCAGGCGCGCAGATGCACTGCCCGCAGTCGCATTTCCCGCGCTCTGGGGGGGTTATTGGGAAGACTTTTCAGATCCTGCAGCCGCCCGGGTGACCGTCCGCCCTCTGCCCGCGCCTGGAGAGCATCACCCGCCCTGCGCTCGCCGTGCCGCCCACCCTCCGCGGGATGCTCAAGGAGCATCCTCCGGGCTGGCGCGGCGGGACCCGGCATCCCCCAACCCACCCCCTCGGGTCGTGACGTGAAAAGTCAGCACCTCCCCGGGCATTTGATTCTCCTCAGCAGCGCATCACCTGGTCCGCCGCAGGGGAAGCCGTTGTAGAACTCGCAGTCCACGTTGTCGCACTGGCAGTAGGTGCCGTAGATCTCCTTGCCGGCCACGTCGCCGGTGTGGCAGAGGCACTGCCCGCACACGCAGTCCCCCAGCCCCGAGCAGATCAGCGAGCTGTTGTCCTTGCGGCAGCTGCTCTCCAGCTCCTTGCTGCTCCTGCCTTTGGTGTCGCACTCGCAGTTCTTCCCCGTGTAGCCCGGGTTGCAGCTGCCGCAAAAAAACAGGAGGGGTGAGCTCGGCTCTGCGGCCACGCGAAATGCCGTGGGGCCCAGACCTCAGCCACGGCAGAGCAAATCGGGGACAGCCCCACAGAAAACCGGCGCTGGTTAGCATGTTGGTGCTAGTTCCATGCTGCAGCAGGTGGTTGACTGGGAGGAAACCTCAGAAATGCTGTTTCCCCTCCCCCCCCCCCATCGTATCCACAACACCAAATGGTTGCCCAAAATTATTGTTATAATTTCCAAACCTTGCCAAAGAGATCTGAGTATTTCCTGAGGAAACCCAGGCTTTTCCTCTCCCTGTCACTGAGGGGCCATGAAGCAATAATTACACTTAAAGCCTTAAGTGAACTGAAGACCAGAAGTGTGATTTTGAGAGATTTCTACAGAAACCTGTGTCTGCTCAGTTGGTAGGTTGGTGGATGCTTTGATATTGAGATGGATGGTTGCGTAACTGGATGCGTGGAGGTCCTTGGGAAAGCAGCCTGGGCTCCACCAACAGAAGAGGCAGCTCACCGTGTCCCCTGCCTCTGTGAATGCAGGGGACAGTTCCAAGGGGAATGCGTGTATCGACTTCTCCAAATGAAAAAAAAAAACGTGCGAAGCTGCAGAGCCCAGGCCCTGGCTCGGCCCAGCATCGCCCTCCCAGCAGCTCCCCGGATCTGGCAGCATTTGAAATAGTGTTTTGGGTGGCGCACATACCTGCAGATCCCACAGACAATGCTGCCCTGCCCTCTGCAGGCAGCCGGGTTGGGCTGCTCGTCACAGCGGCACTCACAGTTGCTGTCCACGTGGACAGTGAGGGTGTCTGTGAAGCCCAAGGGCCGGATGGTGAAGGACTGGCCTTGGATGCACTCCTTGGCTGTGACCTTCACTTTGAAGGTGACCTAGAAAGTGCAGAATGAGACAGAGAAGGGCCAGAAGCCCAGCTATCAGAGGGTGGTATCAGCCCTGGGCTGAGGACACGCACATCCAGCATGGAGGATCCCCCCCATCGCACAGCATTTTGGACAGTCTTGGCATTAAAATAAAGAAGACAGAAAGCCTGGAAGAGCATCCAGTGTTCCTGTCATTAAACAGGAAGGGCATCAGGAACTGTGCAAGCTGTGGGGTGCTCCTAGTACAAGAGCACATACCTCATCATTGATCTTGACATTGTTACACTGCCCTCTTTCTCCATCCGTGGTGTCCTGGTTATCACTGCATTTGGAGTCGTATTTGACATCCAGGACATCTGGCAGAGTGGAATGGTCCAGGATGATCTGCGAGGACAGGTTCTGTGGGAAAATGATGGGGAAAGTGCCATCAGGCCAAGAGGAGAGCAGAGCAAGGGTGTGTGGGGTTGCAGGTCAGGGTTCCCTCCAGCCCAGAGAAAAGGGGCAGGGAGCACCCCAGGCCGGGATCTCAGCTGCCTGGAGTGGTTCTGGAAATGCAGGTGGTATTATTGGAGAGGTGGGAACTCCAGCACTTACGTTGTAGGCCACCTGGATGAGTTCGATGATGTTGCTGGAGTCCTCATTCAGCTCTCCCACTGCCGACTTCGGGATCATCTCACTGAGTTTCTGCCGGTGGAGAGCAAAGAGGTGAGCACTGCCTGCCACGTGACAGCGGAGCAGGAGGCAGTGGCAGGAGGACACACACAGCTGTGCCAGTCCTGCTGGGAAGGGAGTGGAGGCACTTGGACCATCTGAAATATCCTTACCTTGTAAACATCCACCATCCTACTGGTGACGGCAAAGATGGGCTGAATGTTGTTTTCAGCAAGTTTCTGGACCAGCTGGCCAACAGACGGGTAGTCCTGGGTGGGCAGAGGGATACCAGACTCAGCACGATCCCCCCCACCAGCAGAAGAGCGGACAGCTTGGGTATGGCAGCCCAAATTATGGTGATTATGGTGATTATTGGCCTCTGCAACAGTTTTTTTTTTTTTACATGACAATTTTCCTTCTGCCTGGGAGAAGAAAAGGCTGAGGGTGTGGAAATGCTGAGCGGCCCCCCCCGGGTACTTACGAACTCGTTGCTCCTCTTGTACATGTTGTCCTCCAAGTGGCACTGGCCATCGTTGGGGGTCAGGATGCCTGCCAGCTTGCCATCCCCAGCGAAGTGGAAGCCGTCATCAGTGGCATACACCAGCAGGCGGGTCACGTTGCGCCAGCCTATCAGGTCCTGCGAGTGGCACAGAGAACGGCCCCTGGCCCTGAGTGGGGCTGGGATTACAGTGCCTGTGGGCACGGCGTGGCCCTTGCCAAGGTCTCGTGTCAGCCCCGGCTCGGGGCAGGGTGCAGGGGAAAGGTGGGTAACAGGAGATGAGGGTCGGGAGGCTCCGGGCTAAGATGCTCTCTTGTCCTGCCCCACCCGGAGAGGGGCAGAGCCGCCTGCTGAGAGCCGGCCTGTGTGTGTGTGTGTGTGGGTCACAGCCCCCGTGGGTGAGCGGGGCGGCCGCAAGGACTCACCCCACACACCGCTGCCTGCATCATGGCATCCAGCCCCCCCTCTGGGGCGTCCAGGTTCCCCGAGATGAACTGCTTGCCCACTTCGCTCTCAAACTGCTGGGCGTTGTCGGTCAGTGAGAGGATGTGCTTGAAGGCGAAGGGAGGCTGGCACTGCTTGTCCTTGTTGGGGCAGGGGTTCTGCAGCTTCTCAGGGTGCGTGTTGACAAAGGGCAGCACCGTCTTGTCCACGAAGGAGCCAAACCCTACGGCAGCCAGACTGCAGTTTCAGGGAGAGGAAACAGGGCACGGACAATCTGCTGGCCGCGGCATACATGCCCATGTCCCTTGCCCTGGCACACTCTTCAGCTGGGCAGAGGACATCCACTGCCCACTGCCCTCATCCCCCTCCAGCCCTGCAGCTCTTCCCAGCAGCAAACAAGCTGTGCCGGACCAGAGACAGGCTCACCAATGCGTCGAGAAGGGGTGGTGCTCTCCAGCGCTCTGAGCAGCTCCCCTCCCAGCTTCTTCACCTTCTGCAGGTCATCCAGCATGGAGTAGGAGAGGTCCATGAGGTAGTAGAGATCAATGGGATACCCCATGGCACGGCGGAACTTTGCCTCGAACACAGCGGGCTGGCCTGCGGGACAGGGATGCCGGGGTCAGCTGCCGTGTTGTGCCACCTCGTGCCATCACCCACCCCTCCCCTCTTTGGGAAGAAAAGGGGTGGAAATTGTGGGCTGCAACGTCTGGCTGTGTCCCAGCTGAGCCTGGGGGCGAGTGGAAGGGTGTTGGGCACACCGGACAGCCCAAGGGTGTCGGGGATGCCAGGCGGAGCGTACCTATCCTCAGCTTCAGGCGCACCTCCTGGGGAGTCAGCTGCACATCGTTGCTTAAGGGACTGTCCTGTGTTCTCGTGATGTCGTTGACTGGGAACTCAATTTCACCACGTGGGCACCCCCTCTGCTCCAGCTGCTCGATGGTGTCGCAGCGGACCGAGTCCGGCTCGCCGGCTTTGGTGAAATTCTGTGTGTGGCAATGTCAGGGGGGGAAAAAATCAGGGGAGCAGGGGGTGAACAGGCGTGTTTCGAGATGACCCAGCCTCCAAGTAGCATCTCCAGGGTATTGGTGGAGAAAAGGTAAGCTTTGATGGGTATTGATGGGGAAAGGTTGTGCCTGTCAGGTCCCTCCTGGCCTCATCAACCACACAGGACATGAAACGCTCCCACAGTGCAGCCAGGCAGAGCCAGGCAGGCAGGGTGACCATCCTGCTGCCTGTTAGCTGACTGCTGAGGGGGGGTCACATCTTGACAGGCTACACAGACCTACCATCTTCTTGCACCAGGCACAGCCAGGGCCAGACCAGATGCAGTCCCTGCACGTCCCCACCTTGATCTTGGGGCACTCCATGGAAAAGGCTGAAATGGAGAGAAGACAGCCTTGACACGGGGGGCACCTTGCACATCTCTCAGTGCCACGTTCCCACTGCTGTTGGGCAGCATGTGGGTTCCCCCCCATCTCACTGGGGGAAGGCAGGTGGGGCTCACCTGTGGTCACCAGCAGCAGCACCCCCATCACTGCTGGCAGCTGGAGGCAGCGGGCACGCAGCATCTTCTGCAAGGCAGAAAGCATTCCTCTGACCACCTGGCATGTGCTCCAGGGATGGGTTCTCCAGCACAGGCCCATCTCCTGGGCAAGTGGAGAGGCTGGCTCACACTGTGTGATGTGGTCCAGCCTTGCTGGTGTGCTGACCTGTCCTGGTTCTGTCCAGGCCAGGGTTAATTTTTGCAGCAGCCAGGAGGGGTGTTGCCAGGTTCCTCCTGGTGAGCACTCATGTGTGAATCATTGGCCTCTCTCTGCCATTACTGTAACAGTGCAGTGGCCTTGCAACATGGATGCACATGGGGAAGTGAGAAAAGAGGAATTTGTTTGGAGAAGAAAAAGGACTAAAGAGAGCACGAGGAACAACAAATGTCACCCTTTTTAGCAGTATTAGACACAGTGTCTGGAAACCAGGGCATCGGTTTCAAAATAGCTCTGATGCTGCCCCGAGCAAGAAAATAACCACTCCTCAACTCCTGCCATCACCCCCTCCTGTGAGCTTGCCCAGTGAACAGCACAGGGTGACACGGAAATGAGAAAACAAGGGAAACCTCCAAAAAGCACTGAGACATGTGAGTAAGTAAGGCTGCCCAGATCCCCTTCTGAGATGTCAGGATGACCTGTCTTGGCTCATTAGCCTCTGTAAGATACCAGACAAGCTCAGGAGAACACTGGTCAGCCTTGAAAGAATGTCTGGTTTACTCCCTAGTGCAGAGAGAAGGTCTAGGCAAGTTGGTGGGTAACACTGCTTAGCTGTCCCAACACATTTCTGTCACCTCCAAATTCTGCCAGCACAGTTTGAGGTTGTAGGAGGGAAAAGTGGCTTCCACCCTTGTTTCCTGTAGCACCTGGTGATTGACACCCCAAATGTGCCTCATTAGGCTCCAGTTCTGCTACAGGCCAGAAGTTCCCACACAGGCTGTGGGGACAAAACTCACAGATTTAATGAGCTTCTGCTATTCCACCTGCCCAGTGTTTCCAAATGTTTAATTCCTGCTGCCATGCCAAGGTGTGGGGCAGAGATGGAATAGAGCTCTGTGAGCTCCTCATTCTTGCTGGAGGTTGGAGTTTCCTGCTTACAGGCCCAATCTCATAAAATAGAGCAAGTTTCCAATTAAAACAGGATAAAAAAACCTCCCAAACCCAGCAAACGAAGTGGGAACCTCAATACACGCCCAGTGCTGGCTGCTCTCAAGTGTTGTAATGCAGGGTTCATGTCATGGGCTGGATTTGGGTGCCTTTTCCATCACCAAAGTGGTTTCTTGCCCTTGTCACAAGATCATGAAGCACACCCAGATGCTAGGAGAGAGCAGGGGCAGGAAGCTCAGCACTTCTTCTGTTCTGCCATGGAGGGAAATGACGCCCTGGTGTGTGGGTGGGGGAGTGCATACATGACGTAGGGTTACTTTCCAAGAGAACAGATAGGGCCTTCTGCCTTTGTCTGCCTCTTTACAGCGTTGAGAGGAGTGCAAAGCAGGTTTTTGGTCTGACTCTGCACCAGCAGGGCCCCAGCACGGGCCTCAGCAGCGTTTCCTCCAACCCCCTTAACCATCCCTCCGGCTCATCCCAGACTTGCGCAGTCACCGCCTGTCCCGGCTCTCATCTCCTGGGTGTGCTCTGCCTGTGATGTTGGGGTTTTTCTTCCCCTTCTGTTCCATAAACTCAGGCAAGCAGAGGGGTGCACATAGTCCATCCTGCTGCGCTGGTGTGAAGGAGCAGAACTGCAGAGCTTTACAACCACCCTCGTGCCGGGGTTGGGAGCCGGGGCTGCTGAGATCGAGCACCCCATCTGAGGGCAGGACACGTTGGCACCAGGCTCTGCCTCCTGGCCAGGGCTGCATGGTGGCATCGGGGGAAGAAGCCTGACCTCAGGACCAGGGTCCTCCTCGGCCCTGGGCTCTGATCTTCTCCCAGATGTCTCGGGTGGGTCAGGATCAGGGCTCTGCTTCAGCGGGAGACTTTTGCAGGAGCCACCGGGATATTCCACCAGCGGAGCGTCTCTCTTAGGGCAAAATGCCCTCCAAGGGTCTGTGAGCCTGAAGATGTGACTAAGGCCTCAGGGAAGGCACATGAGCTAAAAGCTGGGTGCTGTCCTGCATGTGGGCAGGGCTCAGAGCTGGAACATGCTGGGGGATGCTGCTGGGATGAAGAGCAAGCTGGGATTTATAAATAGGGCTGAAGGGGAAGTGTTGATGATAGCAGCGATCTTGTTGCTATAAATAAAACGAGTGTTCAGCAGCAGAGGTGAGTCTGTTAGCCACAACTCCCCAGCAGTGCTTTGCTAAACATCTGTTCTCCTGCAAAACAGGAGGACACACAGCTCGTGCCCGCCATCCTGGCAGGACTCCTGGGGTGTTTGCACCGTCCACCTGTATCAATAAGGAGCCACCAGTGCCAGTGCTCCTGGGCACTTCCTCCAGGCATCACTGGTGCTGCATCACCACCATGCTGTACAGGGATGCTGGGTACCACACCCAGCACTGCTGCTCCTTCCCACCCCTCCAAACCAGGCAATCCCAGACCCCAAGCACAGAGGGGAAATGAGCCAAGTGAGAACGGGAGTGTGGATGTCACTTGATTTTGGGCCCTTTCTTTCATCACTGGGTTGTGTAATGGGGATAAATCCCACCAAAGCACGTGGCTGTACACAGGACTTCCTCAGTCCATGCAGAGTATCACACCCAGTGTGTGTTTATATGTATTTTTACATGTTTATATATATGTATATATAATACATATAAATTACAGGGCAAATATAAAAAATAAAAATATACTAATGTATTTTGAATATATAAAAAGAATATATATATTCCTGTGTCCTATTATAGGAAATGTGTTATTCCAGCAGCTCCAGTGCCTGCAGAGGACAGATCTGTGGGGTGAGCTCTCTCCCACGTGCACCAAGTCCCTAACTAGTCTGTGGTGTCCCTTGGCTCTGAACACCAAGATCCCTGGGTGCCTGTGGCCCTGCCCTGGGGGTGAGGGAAAGAGGGGATTTGTGCTGCTGGGTCTCCCTAGGTCAAAACCCTGCGTGGGTGGGAAAGAGCTGCCAGCTGATTGTCCTGCCCTGGGTAGCCCAGGGGCACCACGCTCTCCAGCACGCTGAAAGCACTCCTTGAAGCACCAGAATGGGGACAGAACAGTGCAAAACCTCCGTGTGAAGCAGGATGTGACATCTGTGACAGCAAAAAGCACCACGTAGGGCGTCCCCACACCTTGCAGCAGCCACGTTCCAGTGTCCGTGCTGGCCCCAGGGCACGAGGGCACTGCACGTGTTCACATCTTTGCTTCTCACCTGCCAGCAGGCTGGGAGCTGTGGCTGTGACGCTGGGAAAAGCATCAAAAACGAGGGCCAGGCTGCTTTTCCCTGGCATCTGGGATGTGCCCCACATTCCATCTGCATCCAGGAGCCACTGAGATGTCGGGGAGAAGCTGCTCTCCCCGGGGCCACTCGGCTGAGCAGTATTTGATGTGCGCAGCGCACAGAGATACGGAGGAGAAGAGCAAGGCTCTCACTCCCTCCCCCAGCTGTTCCCCCAGGCCCACAGGGGTGCAGGGACAACCAGGAAGGGCCCTGCAATGGGCGGTGACACCGTGCTGAGCCCCCTCCAGGCTGCCATCCCTGCCACGCTCACGCCATGCCCCCACCTCAGCTCCCTCTTTCCTAGCACATCCTGCAGGCAGTGAGTGAGACCCTATGAGGAAGAGGAGGGTCCCAGGAGGGGGACTGGCACAGCCCCCAGCCCTGGTGCTGCAGGTGGGCACACAACCCATGCCACTCTCCCCAGTGCCATGTGTAAGGGTGTGGGAGGAGCACATGGCACCCTCCCTGCTCTGCTTTCTGAGCCCCTGAGGTGGCCAGGAAAGGGTTTTTTGGGGTCTGACATCCTGCCACCTGCAGTTCCAGGCTCAATGCTACCTCTTCAAAAGCAAAACCACTACAGGCTAGGCAAGCTGCCTTCGCAAAGGCTGCACAGACTGACCCACCTGCAGGAGGGACACCGCACCAACCCCCACTGAACTCGAGTGGCCAAAAGTTAGATATGGAATTAGGAAACAATTGCCTGGAAACAACAGAGCTACAAAACCCCTTTGTTGCCTGGCTGCCTTCGCCCCCCAGAAAGAGGGAACAGAAGCATAGGTAACAGAGATGCTGTACTCACCTGGCATCCAGCCTTCACCTCTTTCCCGTCCCTGGGCTGGGATGAGGATGGTCTCACTCTTTCAAGCTTGGTTGGGAAAAGCAGCCAGGCATCCGGAGCTCTGCGACGTACCCCAACCTTTCCTTCCTATTTCTGTCTTGCTGGAGGAAGGAGGAAGTCGGAGTGGTAACTGTGAGAGGGTGTGTTCCCCCCAAAACCCAGCCTGTCCCACTCATAGCGGTCAAACCCACAGCACCTTGCCTTGTGGGGCTGGGGCTCAACTCCCCAGGCTACCCAGGGGGTTTGCAGTCCTCCCACTGCACCTGGGAAAGGGGCCCACCCAAACCCCCCCCTTTTCTGCCCTCTTTTCACCTCTCACAGTGCTGCTGGGGACCCCAGTGGGCACACAAAGCTGGTAGAGGGGGAAACTCGCTCTTTTGAGAGCTATTGACAGCCCTTGGGTGTGGAGAGGAGCCTCTGGCTCCCCTCAGGCTCTGGGTTGGGCTCTGAAATGTCTGTGCTGGGGTAGCGAGGTCTCCTTGCACGGCAGAGGATGCAGGCACCGTCCTCGCTGTGGCAAAGCTCAGGGCTGCATGGGGAACTTTTTTTAAGCAGCCACCAAGTTTTCTTGTGCCGGCTGCAATAACTCCTTCCCAAGCAATCACAACAGCTCGTCCCTGAGCAGAGAGGAACCAGCTACTGCCAACTTTCTCTTAACCTCTTCAAGGCACTACAATAAAAGTTATTAAAGTCATTTAGAAAACATACAGGATTGTAGTTTTTTTAAATTATTTTTAATGTGAGGCTTTGCTAATTACTTTGTAGGTTTCCCTTCCAAGCAAGCTGTTGTTGACTCACCGTGTCGCATTATCATGGAATCACAGACGGGTTTGGGTTGGAAGGGACCTTACAGACCGTCTCATTCCAAACCCCCGCCACGGGCAGGGAGACCTGAGGCATTGTAAGACCCTGGTGCTGTTCACCCTCTGCTGTGTTACAGCTACAGAGCTGGGTTTATTTCTGCAGCAAGCAAAGACACTGCAGTGCCAGCAAAAACCTTCTGTGCCCTGATGGATGCTCTGTGGGTTTGTGCTTTTATTAAAGAAGACAGCAGAGCTCTGGCTTGGTTTCTCCACAGCCAGGTGTGGCAGGAAAGCATCACAGCAGTGCTGGATGTGGGATGGGAGCGCTGGAGCTGCTGATGCAGGATATGGTGAGGATGGAGCCTGATGATGAGCCAGCTGCGAGCTGGGGTGCTCAGCCCAGCTTGGGTGGCTGCAGCTGGACGCTGCAGAGCAGCCTCCGGGCCAGGAGTGGGTGGGCTGGGGCGGATGAAGCCGGGAAGGCTGGTGGGGCTTCCTGCCAGTGGTGGAGGTTGCAGATCTGAGGGAAGGAAGTGTGGTTGAGTGAGACGAGCTGTAATTTTGCTTTTGTATTGCGTGAGGCCCTTGACGAGCTGCTCTGTCCTCCTCAGTTATTTCATAGAGTTTGTCCAACCACTCCGTACCAGCTGACCAAAGGTTAAGGGTGGGAGGGCTGGGAGCCCCTGGAGTCGGAGCAGCGGGAGCAGAGCGGGTGTACCACTGGTCCTTGTAGCCAAAGCTGAAGCTTGCTGGTATATCCCAGTTCCTCCCAGCTGTTCCTCATGCTCTCATGCTGCAGCTGAAGGAGGTGGGCACCCTCTGGGGACATGGGCTTGGTCACTGCGTTTACACTCTCCAGCCCGTCTGTAAGCATTTTAAGCTGTTAAACATTCCTCCTTCTATTTTCTTTCAGCTGCCTTTATTTTTATTGGTTCCTCTTTTTATTTTTACTAGAGTGGATTGTGTTTCCCCCCACCACTGTCTGCAGGACTGCTGTGGCTTTTGCAGGATACATTCAAGCAGCTGGGGTGAGAAGTTGGGCATCCGGCTGGGTATTCTCGGAGTGGCTGTTCCCCAGAGTCACTGTTTTTGGTGATCAGTGATGTTATTTTGGGCCTTTGCTCCTAAATGATGCTCATCCAGCCTACAGCAAAGAGGTTTTCCTGTTGTTATTTTCTATTCCTGATGAACATTAAATCTTTCTATCCCTAACAAACATTACATCTGGTGGATGCCCCATCCCTGGAAGTGTTACAGGCCAGGCTGGATGGGACTCCGTGGCTCAGTGGCAGGGGAGTGGAACAAGATAATCTTTAAGGTCTCTTTCAACCATTATGTAATTCCATGATTCCCAGGTGTGCCCCAGTCGCATACCCCAGCTGAAAGAACGTATTCAGGCGTCTGTGGGATCTCCACCCTCAGCAGTATTTTGTATTTTCAACCTTGTAGTATTTGCACAGAGGTACACTTGGCTGTGACCAGGTACCTGTGTATGCAAATGTATGAAGTTTAACAAGGGCTACACCAGATTCTGCCCCTGAGATGGGGCAAACCTGTCTGTGTGTATAGACTGGGGAACGAGAGGCTGGACTCAACGATACTGATGGTCCCTTCCAACCCAGGATATTCTGTGATCTTTCCCAGCACCTTCCCAAGGGCCTCTCCCCACATTTTCTTGGCATGCACAAGGACTGTCACCGCCAGCTGTGCGCTCCCGTGTCCCAGTGCCAGGTCCAGGGAGACACAGCTCGGAGCGGGGTGGGGAGGGCGCCCCGGGGCGCTTCCCCCGTGCAGGGCAGGCAGCGAGGGGCACAGCCGGGCGGCCGGGCCCGGGCCCGGGGGGCGGGCGGTGCGGCCGGAAGGTCCCGCCCCGGCGGGGGCGGCCCCGGGCGCGGCTCAGGCCGGGCCGCCCCTTCCCGCTCCTCTCGGCCATGGTGGGGAAGGTGAAGCGCCCGCGGCTGCACCGCACCGCCCCCCGGGCCGGGCCCGCCCGGGACCCGCCGCCGCTGCCGCTCCCCAGCCCCGGCCCCGGCCCCGGGAAGGTACCGCGGGCGGGCACACGCGGGCCCCGCAGTGACACCCCCGGCCCCGCTCCCGCTGAAAGGGCCGGCCCCGCAGCCCCGCTCGGCCCCTGCGGCTCCCCGGGGCTGCCCCGAGCGCGGTGCCCGTGGGTGCCCCGCGGGGAGGCGCCGGTGGTGGGCGGCGAGGGGCGCGCAGGCCGGGCCGGGCCGGGCCGGGCCTGCTTTAGGGAAGGCCTGCCGGAGCCTCGGTGCCGCTCCCGCGGGCTCGGGCTCGGTGCTGCCGGGCAGCTGCTGCTGCTGCTGCTCCCCCCGAGCGAGGGAGCCCCGGGAGCGCTCCAGCACCGCGCCCTGCCCGGGTACCGTGGGAGGCCCAGCGTGCTGCCCTGGGGAGGGCATCACCGCCCCGCAGCAGAGCTGCGGTCCCCGGGCTCGCAGAGAGCCCACGCAGGGTGGTGACAGATGTCGGGGGGTGGCAGCACTGCTCCTGCTGCTGCTGGGGACAGACAGGGTGCCTGCGCTGCGTTGCAGCAAGTGGGGGTAGCTTGGATGCAGCAGTGAGGACCATTGCCAGCAAGTGTAGGGAGAGAAGGGGGTGAGAGAAGAGGCTGCCTGACTCATTTTGCAGTGGTTCTCTTTGATTTTAGGTTAGGGGAGGTGGAGAGGAGCTGTCAGTTTGCACACACAGTCGTGTAGGAGATGCAGACAGCGTGTGGTTTCCCCAGCTGTGTTATGAGTACACACTTGAGATTAAAGCTGGGTGCCTTCCCCAGCCCCCTCACAGCGAGAACACAACAGCAGTAAATGTTTTTTACATGCCTAAGCTTTCCTTGTGAAGGGGAGGAGGAATCACCTGGGCCAAATATAGCTGGGTTTATACCACCATGAAGTTATGTGTCAGTGCTGGTAGATACTGCTGGCTAAAGTAATAAATTCTTCTAATCCAGCCAGAGTAGCTACTGCAGAGCTTAGGACTTAGAGGCGTTGCATGCTTAAAGCATGATGCCAAAGATCTGGTGAGTTGCTGGTAGTCACTGAATCTGCTTAATGTCCATTGCTTTAGGCTTTAATCCCCTAATCTGCTCATTTGTTGCTTATCTGTATTGTTCAGTACCTGTAATAAATCTGCCGTTTCCTAAGGATGCTGTTCGCAGCTCTCCTGGGAGAGCTCTCCTGGATGCACTCGAGTGAGGCGAGGTTGGGTTGAAGCAGAAATCTGTTAGGAATAGAACAGTCCAAAATATGACTTTGTGAAACTTTCTTCTGTGTGGAAGAGCCTGTGGATGGGGGGGGGGGGGAAGAGCAGGCCAATGGGGTGACTTACCTACCTACCTCTGCCTGCTCAGGAGAGACACCTTCTCCCAGCCATTGTCCCCTTATGGATGGTGCTGGGTTTGACTTTTTGTTTTTTTTTTTTTTTTTTAACTAAATGTAGCCTGGTGGTGGTTATACTGATTCCTGCTTAATGTTTCTTTTGGGTAAGGACTGGGACCTGTCATCTTCTGGTGTCTTTTCTGGGCTGAAGATTGACCCTGATACCCTGGTCAAGAAGCTCGACTTGGACTCCAGGAGCATCGTTTCCTCCAGGACAGGTTTGTTGTGTTTTGAATGAGTGCCACACAAGGTTGTGAGCAAAGACACCAGGGACTATGTTTGACTTGTCAGAACAAACCCAGGGAAGTACAACCCACCCATCCCTTCCCGTGTTCCTGCGAGGGCCTTTAAAAGAGGTTTGGTTTTGTTTGGGTGGAGGCAGAACGGCACAGATGTGCTTGTTGATCCCTAGATGGGGAACTAGCTTCACACTATCTGTGGGATGTCCTCATGCAGCCAGAGACTCTCAGGGGTTGAGAGGACAGCAGGGCCCAGGCTGTGACCTGGTCTCGGGGCTTCCTTCGTGGCTGCTTTTGCCTCACCAGCAGCTGCCATTCCTAACCCAGTGTTTTGTCAGCAAGTTGCTCGTTGTGTACCAACAGTGCCATACCCACTGCAGCCTGACTGCAGCAAGTCCTCTGCTCCTGTTGCTCCCTGGCTCAGGGACTCACAGCAGGAAAGTCCAGCTCGCAAGGAGTTTGGGAATTGAGAGCAGGAACAGGCAGGAGATGATGGAGTTTTTTGATTTCTAGCCCCACAGCAAGGAAATGCTGCCTTTAACTGCTCACTGACAGGCGGAGCTTTGTATCTGAAAGCAGGTTTCACCTCTGAATGGAACCTGGTGGCACAGCAAACTGTCCCTGATGCAGAGGGTGTCCTTGCAAGC